CACAGATGCTCATGCTGCCCCCCGTGCACATCCTCACAGCGGAAATGGACACTAGTAGTCTTCCTTAAAGATATTTATTGCTCCAGAATCACATTAACGTGCACCAGGGAGCAGAGAAAAAAGGTCATGAAGTCTTCCAGCTCATTTTCTGCATCTCTGCCTCAAGATCAGCCATCACTCAGCTTGTTAACCTTCTGGTGCTCTGCAACCTTTGTCCTTGCAGTCCGGCTGTATTGGTTTTACTCAAAGCAAGACCACACGTGCATGAAAGGCAGTGAAAAGGTAAAGGTAGTGGTTTACACAGATCCAGAAGTATTAATTAAATCAGAAGCTAACAAGGTACTTGTTTCAAATAACCTTGACAGCATTGAAGGCGGGAAATGTTAAATTATTGTAGCAGAGGCTTAAAACTGTCGTACAATTATCGTACACGAATCATAAGCATGTGAACAAATAGGCGTCAATTTAAAAAAACATGTATTGAAATGATTTTGACACGTCTACAAATCTACCCACATCAATTTTTTTTAAGAGCAAGGTGACATTAGCCTGGTAAGACCATCCTGATGACATGAGCTTAACATTCAGTTTTGGTCTCTGTATGAGTCGGAGGTCAATGCTTCCCCTAACCCTTTCAGTGGGCGGGGGTACTCGCCTTGACAGACAAACATCTTCAGCCAATCTTTGCCACAAAACACTAGACGATATCATCTTTATCACCAACGGAGCCAAGTGATAAATCAAGCTTTTGCCAAATCCAGTTGAAAGAATGGACAAAATGTCTTTCCTTTGAGAAACTCCGTGAGTGCAAACTCTCTTCTTGTTCAATTGTTGCTATTCAACATATTCCTACAGAACGGTTCATATGATATCCTACTAAAAATGCATGTGCAGCGCTCGACAGTGTGAGCGTTTCACTCGCATTTGCGACTAAAAATAGGTGTGTGCGAACTGTAAAAAATATTTAGGGGCACGAGCGCAAAAAAAATCAGCCGAAGCAGCCTATATTTTTTGTCAATAAAAAAATATGATAATCTAACCGCAAATGTTGGAGGAACTCCAGCTGCCTTCCCTCTTCCCTCTTCCCTGTGTGACACGGTTATGGGCGGTTTTCCAAGCCACTGTCGGCACAATGAATATAAGTCCCACTGTCGGCTGGGTGGAAATAAGTCAAAGTGTGGCGGAGGAGACGGACTGGGTTAAGCGGCAGACCTCCGGGGAAGCCCTCTCCCCTCTCCCCGCAGTGAGGGACTGTTCTCCAAGCTACTGCTGCTGGGCAGCGTGGAAATAAGTCCTGCAGAGTTTCAGAGGACCTTGAGAATGTTTTAGGATAGTAATAACATTATATACGATAATCATATTGCAAAGATAATACATATATAAGATAATAACATTAAAGACAAAATTAAATTGTAATACTTTTTCAAAACTTTTCCGTACATTTTGTATACAAATTCATTAAATAATTTTGCATGTAAATGTCTATTTGCATCACGTTTATTACGGAAAACACATTATTTGATCAATTTACATTGTGCCCCTAAAGTTCTTTGTGTGCTTCTTACTTTTTCAACTTAGGAGCACATGTGCTCCTTGGGAAAAAAGTTAGCGTCAAGCCCTGATGCGCAATGCCGCACTAATGATGGTAAATCTTTAATGGACAGTTATGTAATTCTGATCAGAGATAGAAACAGAATGTTGAGCTCACGTCATCAGGATGGTCTTACCTGGCTAATGTGCAAAGCTATGTTGTATGAAAGGGGATATGAGTCCATAAATCCCGTCAAGTTGACTATGGCATATCTCAAGCACGACTGGCTGAAAAGAGGTCACGTAAGAGGAGATGTGTAAAAACAGACATGGACCCGTAACTTGCTATCCTGATCATGTCAGGAAATTAGACAGTAAAGGCAAAAACACACCGGCAATGAACACCATGCATCAAAAAATACGCCCCTAGTATTTTCAGTATACAACCCGACAGCTGTGGTGTCAAGACATGCATTGGCGCTCCTGGATGTACTATATCCAGCCTCGCCGCCCCAGGTATTAGATGCATTTTCCCCCCACTTGCTCTCTGCTTGTACATACCAGCTCCCGTTCCAGCTCCTTTTCTCTGCTCCTCTGGCAGCTCGACTCCTCTCCTCACCATGGATGCATGAAGACAACTCTGTAGTTGTTGCTGTCTCATGTGTGCGAAAGAATGGATGACAAGAGACTTGTTGTTGAGGTTGAGAAATATCTCGAGCTAAAAGCCCACAATCCCATCATTGTAAAGACAATGGCCAAAAAAATATTACCTGGTGAGTCATAGGTCTGGAGATCGGCACTTCAGGTGAGAAATGAAGTGTAATTAGGGGCTGTGCACACATGATTTAAAGCTGCAGAGGTAGAAGAGGTACAGATCTTTCCGAAAGTGTAGTAATAACTTTGGTTGTCTCAAGCTTAAGGATAAAACAAAGTACTTATTGTAAGGGTCACAAAATGGTAGAATTATCACGCTTTACGGCACTTTTGGCATTACTGATCATACATCATACAGAGGGCAAAATCGTCACACAAATACAATAATTATCATACGTCTGGCAACGCTGATTCTCGAAGTTAGAACTAGTCGTCAACAAACAAAGATAATTTTGTTTTTGTTTATATGTTAAACATTTACTGAGAATTACAGAACGATGACTCAGATTGCACAAGAAAGTTCTAAGGCGCTGGTGAAACAGATTTCCCAGCTGCCGTTGTTCTTTCTAATGTCTTAAATTGCAATTTTGTGCTCTTTCTCCCCTAAACACACTCTTGATTTAATTGAAGCCTGTTGGGGCTCCGGGTTTTGTAAGGTAATCGTTAGCATTGTCCATTACACTGACTGTGTGCCTCTGCCTGTAATTGGTACATAAAATATACTGGAAGGTTAAATTAGACCAAGCAGTAGTTAAAAGCCCCACGTGCACTCCCAAACACACACCAGCACAAACACAAAACTCAGACTTCTCATCAGCTCCTACTCTGCATCTAATTGCAGAAATCGATTGTAGCTGCTGTTCATGCAGGACTCAAAAAGCTACAGTGCACTGCGCTTAAACTTAATGAGGAAGCAGCCTGAAGCTAATTCATGCAAATGAAGAAATATGAATTACTTTGCGAGAGTACCAATGATTTTCAGCCAATTTACCTCAAATGCATGAAATGATCATGTCACGCCTCATGCGTCTCTATTTTTAGAGTAAAAAGTGCCACATTTTGAAGTTAGTGGCTGTACGCACAGCAGTGAGTGAGCGCTAGGCTTCCTGCCTACTGCTGAAATGAAGGGAAAAGTTGTTCCAAACTTTATTCTAAACATAGACATCATATCGTGCTCAGAGTACAAGGATATCACTTCTTTTTTCCCCTTCCCTCTTGAGTTTCCAAAGTCTCTGACTGAACTGAGCAAAGTTGTTTCTACAGTACAGTTTGCAGGTTTGAGGATAGAGGAGGGAGCTGAGCCAGAAGGTGAGGCTTTCGATTTACTGGTCCATCTACATCCCAACCCTCACCTATGGTCATGAACTTTGGGTAGTGACCGAAAGAATGAGATTGTGGATACAAGCGGACGAGATGAGTTTCCTCCATGGGGTGTCTGGGCTCAGCCTTAGAGATAGGGTGAGGAGCACAGACATCCGGAGGGAGCTCAGAGTAGAGCAGCTGTTCCTTCACGTCGAAAGGGGTCAATTGAGGTGGTTCGGGCATCTGATCAGGATCCTCCTGGGCGCCTCTTGTTAGAGGTGTTCCAGGCCTGTCCCACTGGTAGGAGGCCCCGGGGCAGACCCAGAACACACTGGAGGGAATACGTATCTCTTCTGGCCTGGGAACACCTTGGGGTCCTCCAGGAGGAGCTGGAAAGCATTGCTGTAACAGAAGTGAAAAGAGATAGGATAGGCCTTAATCATGTGATATAAATCTTAGCAAGAAAGCAGCTAAGCGCCTTCCCTAAAATTTCAAATCACTCCTTTAAGGGTTTGTTTAAAGCCCAGTACAGACCAATAATTTGCAACATGATGAAACCGTTTTAGAACATTGCAGGGATAAGTTACAGTGGTGTAACTGAGGTTGACTCAAGCCTGCTGATGGTGTCACCTGCAACCCAGCTGGTGAAATCACCGGCAACTGGTTTTATGGTGCATTCGTTTTGTACTCGGAGGTTGGAAGTCGGAAGTTGGAAGTGGGAATGACGTCACCTGCGAGTTGACAACAGTTTTTGCATTCTAGTTGACAGCAGTGGACAAGCCGGAAAAAAACATGGACTCCCGCAAGAAAGCCTTTGTTGCCCTTGCACTTTTTGAGTATAGACAGCTTCAAAACCATCATGCACTCCAACTGATGAACGCCGCAGATGAGGCTGACCTAATGTGAATTGAATTTGTAAGTCGGGGTTGATGCCGTTGCTCCAAGTTTCCGAGTTGGAAATCCGATCTCAGGGTGCGTTCGAGTTTAAACTTCCAACTGGGAACTGGTAATTTCCAACCTCTGAGTACAAAGCGAACGCACCATTACAACGTAAGGTGCATCACCTGTTTCAACAGCCAATCGTCTTGTAGTGAAGTCTGCTGGTCGAGTCAAAATGGTCGGTGCTCCGTTCCCGCCAAGCCCCCTGTTTCCGTCTTCACGGTGCCTTACGGTATTCAGCCACTAAATAAATCTGAAAAGCAGAGAGTTGTTGCATAGAGATGATACACTGTCTCATGTAGTTGCATTGCTGTGAAACAGTAGAACGTTGCAGAATGGCGCATTGCAAGTAGTCCCCTGTTTCAACTCGTCTCATTGTTTATCTTTAGATTGATCTAGGCGTAAAATGCTAACCCTAACTCACAAGCTCAGAAATGTACTAGTTGAGAACATTATCAGCGCTGATCTTCAAAAGAATGCCCAAAAAATTAAGTCTAAACCAGTCACCACTACAGAAATAAATCACATCCACATGGGGCTTAACACTGTCTCCTGTTTTTCTCTTTCCTGTGTAGTATGGCATCAAGAAGAAGGAGGAGAAAGAGGCCGAGGCAGCGGCTGCTATGGAGCAGGCCTCCGAGGGCAGCCTCACCCGTCCAAAGAAGGCGGTTCCCACCGGCTGCGGCGACGAGGAAGAAGAGGAGAGCATCGTGGATACGGTCATGAAATTCATCCCGACCCCGCTCATGGATATGTTCAATAAAAAGTAACAGTGTTTTGGGTGAAATATGATTAACTTCATCTAACCAAGACTACTGCCGTACCGCCCTGCCCTGCCCAAACCTGCAGTCACACTTTTCTCCACCCTCCCACTCCTTCAACACAACTTCTAAGTGTCCTGGAGTTGAGCAATGTGCCATGACTTTGCCCTTGGTTTAAAATATCTGATGGTGATACGTACTTCTTAATCTCTCATACAGAGCATCTTCCTTGATATCTATCTCTATTTTCAAAGTATGTAACACCTACACAGATCTTTACTTCAAGGCAAGTCTTATGCCATGTTTTCAAAATGTCAGGCACTTAGAATAAGATCAGATATCACCCATCATCCACCCTTTTTGTTTGTAAATAGCCTCGGGTTATAAAAAAGAGAACTATATATGAGTGAAATATGACATATAACAAGATGACTAAGAGTATAAGCCATATTTTTAACTTTTAAGAAATTATCCAAATCATATCAAAATTTGATTAAATTTTCCTGTTCTGTTCTTGCTAATATTTGATACATACAGTGTATATAAATACTTACATTTTTATTAGTTCTCCGCTGTGAGGATTCACCCCTGTTCACCCTGTCTTTCATGTTCTCATTGGTTTATCGTGAATGTGTAATATGAGCACTGGTACAGTGGAAACAACTCCTGTAAGACCAGAAAGTGAAGGAAATTCATTTGAAATGAGAATTTTCTTTGTTTTGTTTTGTCTGGTTTCCTTTTTTAAAGCATGCAGTAAACTTTTGTGAAGTAAAGTACACACATGGAAACCATTTCATTTGTTACGATGAAGCGAAATACATTGATATTTGAGGCAATAACTGGTTTTCCATTTTTATTTGATTGACATCTCGTCCACCATGTGCATTAGGCGACAATTGACTTTGTGTCTGAAATGTTCTTCCATGGGGAAAACTATAAACGTTCTCCATACATGAAGTTTGTCTCAAAGCAGTTAAGTAAAATTCTTACTCTAAATTTACTTGCTCTACATGTTTGTGGTTTGAACATTCAGTTTTAATGTCCTGTGGCAGGTGTCGCTCGCTCTGCTTCTGCAGTAGGACGTGTAAATCTTAGACCAGGCTAGTTATTTTTATGTTGACATCTCCATCAAATTTTTTGTAGAAAAAAAGAAACTTCACAAACGCAACTATGTTGTGAACACACTATATGTGAACAGACAGTGACAATAGTGCAATATATTGTTCTAAATGAAGTTGTCCTGTGTCCGTTGGTTAAACTGATGGGAGTGAAGTCCCAAATCAGCAATAACAGACAATCTTCATTGTTGTGTGTTTAAATTTACTCCTTAATGTGTTAGTCGACATTAAAGGCACGGATGTGTCTGCATAGTGACAGTAAAGCCTTTGTAGGTCAGACATGTTTCATCAAAAAAAGAGAAAAGGGGGGACGGTGGGACGATTTGTTTTGTGTCGTAAAAAATGTTCAGTCACATGATACATAATCATGAGCACTTGCAGGATTTGTGTTTGAAATGACAAAACTAAAAGGCAAATCAAACTGCAGGTTTTAAAAGGCAGACTTTAACAATACATGAAGAAAAAGGTCCACACGTGTTTGGATATTTTTGAAAACAGATGATTTTCTTGCACCTTTCTGTGTTTACAAAATTTCTCTGTCCACACTGAAACAACCTCAGTCGCTCGCCAAGTCCATTCCACAAGCTCTCCTACCTTTTTAATCTAATAAACTGGCAAAATATAAAAGGAAATTTTATTATACCTTTATTAAACAGAAAAATACAACTATACACCTTCTAAATTCAAGTTTCTCTTTTTTACTGAATTAATGTTAATTACCTTGTTGACTCATTGTAAAACTCTGTGTTTCTGTTGTTCCAACAATCACCAATTTGGTTTTGATGGAAAATTCTAATTATTCATGGACTTAGATGTGAAATTATGCTGGCTCTACATGCTGCAGACCACAAAATCAACAAAATAAAATGACATCCATTTTACACTCCCACACGAATCCAAAGTGATGGAGTTTTGAAAATCTGCACCTTAGAAGGCATTTTCCAAAACCTTAGTGACCTAAAACTCAAAGAAAATTTCCATTTTCAAAAATATCCATATATGTGTAAAGAGGACCTACAAAGCCCTGAGTGAAATCTCCATGACCAATACAACAGAAAATGTTTACCTGCTCTAGAGTCCAGTCTGTCCTGCTGGTAAATGTAATGGCACAAACATAAAGGGGGTCATATGAGGATAAAATCACATTTTTCTCCATATGCCTTGTTTTTTTATTTCTCCGTCATTCCACAGTGTCTTGTTAAAACATTCCAGATATTTCAGACATTCCACCAGACTTGTGCTGGTAACACACAAACTTAGATATTTACAGCCGGCCTCAGCCGATGCCTTCTTTAGCCTACAATTACACCATGGTGAAACTTCAATTTGATGTTGTTATAACCTGAAAATAGAGACTAGAATGAATTGAATATACATATGAAGATTAGTGACTTGAACAAGTAGGCTAAAAGTTACATTAGCTGCCATGTACAGAAAAAAAAAATCCCACATGAAGTTTACGGGAAAGCATAAATGTGCTTTTAGCAGAAATCAGTTGAATCTTGTGATACAATTTTGTTAGAAAACATTTTTGTGATTCACATGAGCACAGTAGCTGTAGGCGTGATTAAGGTTTCTAAAACCAGCTTTTTCGCCACGTTGCCACTGTTTTTATTGAGCTAGCTGAACATGAAATAAGGCTAATTCCGAACTCGTGCATTCCTGTGGCATAGATGAGGGAAATTTAGCTTTTTTGGCTTTGTGAGCTTTGTAATCATGTTGAACATATATATATTAAAAAAACATACAACGGCACAGTGTGGCCTCCTGTAGAGCACATTTATTGAGCTTTCTGTGATTTTATTGTACTTGTAAACTGCCTTTGCTAGCCGTTCATGTGTTAGCAAATTGTTAGCAACTGATTGTTGTTTACAGTTAGTATCCACAACACTCCCATCCATTAACAGAGCAGTTATCCAATCAAACCAAAGAATAGTGCTGGTAGTAGTAGGTTTAGTCAAGAGTTTTCATTCTATTTATTTAGTGCATCGTACTTATTTTGAAATTCTCAGGTATTTTAACTTTGAGTTTTACTAGAGGTTTGAACCATAACTAGCCTTCTCTTAGCGTAATTAGCCTTCTCTGCTAAAAATTGAACAATTCCATTGCTAAGGGCCTAGCCAGCCTACTCCAACTTTTATTTATGAATGACATATCTCTTGTTTGGCCTAAGAATATTCCAGAAAGCTATGATTACTGCCCAGTCAACCCAAGTAGAGGACTTTCCCAGCGACAAAACCTTAGTAAACATTGTCAATGTGTGAAGTTCTTCAGAGCACCAGTCTCCAAACTGGTGTTCTGAAATCACATCACCTCATGCATCTCATCCACCAGCACCATCATAAACCATTTATCAATATCTTGTATATGCTGATTGATTGCGCTCTAAATGGCTTATTGACCACTGCCCAAACCAACTGCCCAAGTCATGCGTAATCAATATTTAGTCGTCCAGTAGACTCCTTGTCTGAAATCCATTCCAGTGTTCAGTCGCTCATTTGTGCCGCTCATACAGCCATTAATATGATTAAAAAACTGCCTGAAAAATTTAACACTTAAAAAAAAAAAATACTCCTTTGATGTGACTTGAATGTAACTGTCTGATGTTTCTCTCTCCTTGCATCTGTCTTTCTCTGTTCTGTACGTGTTGAGAAGATGCTTACTCTCGTGCAGTATTTTTCTTTCTTGTTTGTAGCTGGTCCTGTTTCTGTCCTCTGGTGGTTGGTATTTTGAAAAAAAAAAATTGCATTCTTTTGTACTGCGAAATCTTCTCACCCTTCTCCCTCCTCTCTCTCTCTATCTCCCTATTTGTTGACGAAATGTATGCATGCTTATGGTGTGCGATGTAGGCAAGGTTGTTGATAATCGTTTCGTGTCTTCTCTGTGTTTCAAAGCTCCACCTGTTAGCCTCACTGCATGCCATTTTAGACAGATATTTCAGTCTGTAACTTTCCTGCAAAAATGGAATCACCGCACACTCTGAGAATAAAGTGATTTCATATAATTTTTCATCGTCTTGTGTTTCTACATTCAAACAGTACTGCAGCAGGCCTTTGAGCGCTGCTCCGTCTGTGTAAAATAAAAATATATGGGAGCAGTGGTGGTGAAATACGGTGTATTTCTGGTTCGGGAGGCAATATCGTCCCTGACTTGTGAGACTGAGACGTGAGTCATGGATCATATCCCATTGCATGGCATTCGTTAAGGAAGTATATGTGCAAAGACCTTCAATGTATATCACATGTTACTGTTTCTGTCAGTCAACCCTGTTTTCATCTCAACATGGCTGTTTTTTTTTACGTTTTCTTTTTTCTCAGATGGAATTTTAACATCTATTCAATAAAAGCGAAAAGGGCTGTAAACCGAATGCACTGTCTTGTTCAAATCGTGATTGGAGGGTTTTAAAAAACACAGACTTGTGATCGTGTCACAGTGAGTACACCGCAGGGACTTCAAAGCGATGCAAATAGCATCTCTCTCACAGCAGTTTGTTTGTCATAAGTGGAACTGTGATGTCTGCAGACCTTTTAAATCAAACAAATCCACTAAAAAGATAATGGAGGAACGCCAAGAGAAGATTAGGGAAGGCATCGACTTCAGAGTTGGGTTTAATTCCAGCACAAAAAAGGAGGCCGACATTAAACCAAATTAATTGATTATGATGCTTTGACATTTTCAGGTTTATTGCTTGTCAGAGATTTGTTTTTTTAAATGAGGTTCTTGCACAAGGTTGCTGGCGTCACTTCTCAGCAGTGCAGAGCCTGTCATTTATTTAGCCTCCTCTCATACATCAGTATGTTTCACTTTGAAAGGTTAGCTGCCACGTCAACCTTACTGGCAGTGCGGCTGTGTTTTTACAAAAAGGCACACCTTATATATTTAAACACATTCATTTATTTCGAGGTTCAGTCAGTATATGAATGAGTATTTTCATTTGCCTGATACATCAGACAACTTGGTGGTTGGCTGTCGTGCTTCGATAAGCACATGTGGTTTGCAGAGCAGGGGGGAACAAACTCTTTCTTACTGTCTGTTGGAACAGATGTTGAGTGATTTATGCACCGCTAGTTTCTCAACAGAGATACGCCCAACCCATGTTAGTGTTGGCATGGTACCAGCAGTGGAGGCAAAAAGCAGTAGTGGGTTAGGTTACAGATTACTAGTTACACTGCTCAAAATATAATAAACAATGTAACTTTTTTAAGTTACTTCATCAAAGTGATCTAACTTATTACATTTAGTTACTTATTGTTTACTTCTCTTACAAATGTTTTAAACTCGGCAAAAAAGCCAAAGGTTTGACGTCATGCACTTCGATGTTGACAGCATATGGTGGTAAACTTCACACTGTGCAGTGATGTTCGAACCCTTTTCTGATTTCAGAGAGAAAATTGTTCGATGATTTCCAGTTCTTATGTGACAACATGACCACTTGCTTTGGAGTGGCCGGCTGGTCGTAGCTATGGCAGTCTCAGGTTGCTCAAAGTGATGCATATTGATTTCATTAGCAGAGGAGAGACGGTGCAAAATCAAACAAGAGAACCAATCAAAAACAGCGCTCAAAGGGAAAACTGTTGGAAAGCCATTTGACCTTTGATGGTGTTGCACTCAAATTTGTCCCAAGTGGCTTCGCTTACCTGTGTTGTTCCAAAAGAAAGTCATTCCTGCATGACGAAAGCAACAGGATGAATGTTGTATTCTACATACAATATAAGCTTTTTACCGAAAAGAATATTTTTTGATGTAACCCTGTTGTAATCACCAACATTTTGTTTAGTAACTGTAACTAAATTTAATATTTTCATAGTAACTAAGAGATTATAATCAAATTTATTTGGATATTAATTTATATAACAAGTTACTCCCAACACTGAATACAGTCTCCTCATTTTAATAGTCCACAACGCCAAATAAAGCTATCACCAAGATTTCATGACAGTTTTCTCAGATCCAAGTCAATTACAGAGGAGTCACACTCATTTTGGTAGTCTCGCCACCAGACAATCAGAGATCTCCGCCTTCTGATAGTCTGGGGACACTCCTTTCTAAAGTGTGTTTAACACACCGGAGAAAACGGCCGGCAACAAAGCAACGCCTCTTGCATTTTTTAAAAGGACACGCCCTCCCGGAAATGTGCGCTCCTCCTTTTCTCGTTCGCAAGGAAACAAACACACAGAGAGCTTGAAAATGAATGCTGAGAGATTGAACTCCGTTTTATCAAACGTGCTCAGTCCACAAGATTGTGGAAATGAAGGACCTACAGCGACTTTGTTTAAAACTTTTAACGCAGTCAGACTACGTTTACGAGCACAAGAGTTCAGCGAGCCACCGAAGGACCGCCCTGCTGATTTACTATTGGTTCTGCAACGTAGGGAGTTTTTTTAAACTCTGAAATTGTATCCGCCCATCTAAACACAAAATCAGCGAGAAACTCATCAGTCTTTAGTTAAGCAAAGCGTCTAAAGACTGACTTGTGAGTCTATCATTTTGGATGCTAAGAAACATGCTTTAGAGCTTTTTTATAGTTCCACTGTTATCCAAATAAATACTCTTGTCAGTTTTTTAACCTTGAGCACCAACACTTTTTGAATTAGTTATATGATATATATGTGCATATAGCTTCTCCAATATAATCAGTAGGCGATTTGTTAAATTTTAACAGGGGAGACAACCTGGTTCATTTCATTCAACCCAGTCCTGAAGTCTGAGTATGTGTCCATTCCTTGATTATTTATATTCCTTTAGTTCGTAAGGGTCCATTGATTGAAAGAATTAATCCAAGATGTAAATATTGTTGTTAAGTCCATTGCTAAATATGTATTTTACTTAATGCAACAAACGGACCAAAGTTGTTCCAACATAAACAACATTTTCTCATCTTCCTGCACAGTGTTGTTGGGTAGGTTTGTTTTCTCGCTACAAAACAAAAGCGATCCCTGTCTTTTCGGAGACAGTCATTATGTCATGTGATGTATTTGCTTAATATTTGGAACACCTAAAATCATGTGTTTCAGGGTTAATGTAACTGAAATGACAGCGTTTGTCAGATATTGGTTATGGGTCTGGGTTTGGAGATGAATGGCAGTTGAAGGAGGGGGATGCATTTGGTCATTTTCCCAACAACGGGGGTGGCGTCCCCCCTCAAATCGCCTTCTGAGTATAATTAGGATATGGTAGGAAACTTAACACTCGGTTAATAAAGGAAACATTAAACATTGTAGCCAGTTGTTGGTCTGATAGAGTCAAAAATGTTTAAAGCTCATCCGCAACCCTGAGCTGTTCATTCTTGAAGGTATACTGTGCAGGATTTTCCTCAAACACTCACACTTGAATATTCCTTCTCAGTCATCACTCATGACCCACTACAGAGTGTGGCTGTGTATCATCTGCAGAGACCCACCTCTCTGCCTGTATTTACTTATTCTCCTGTTATTTTTTTTCTGGACGTGTCCAGGGCACAGTGCACAGGTGAGGCCAGGACTCAATAAAAGGTAGCAACCTGTGCCCAGACCATAAGCAGCAAGCATCCAAGAGGAAGCTACAACTGTGGACATGTTATCATGAAAACTACTGTTAACACACAATTCCTGCACAGTATTCTTTTAATTGTGTTGGTCAACTTATAAAAGACAGTTTTGAAAAAGGAAGAAAACAGGAGAGCGAGGGTATCTGGAAAATATCTGGTCACTAAAAGTCAAACGTCCTGCACTTCCCATTATGCAACTCAATAGTGTCTTTTGCCATTTCATGTAAACTCTGTCCTGCAGAACCGTCCAGAGTCATCCCAAGAGACACTAGATTCATATAATGTGAGCTCTTTGACTGTGTTGGCTAACCATCTCTATCCTCAGTTTAATGTGCACACTAGCTTATATACTGGTGGGTAGTAGCCTTGTTAATGGCTTGGGTTGCACTGTGCAGCTGCTTTTCCACCACTTCAGGCTGTTGAGCACACACAAGGGTCTTGGCTCCTCCTTTGCAATAAAAGTCCACAATTCTCCCTGCAGGAAATGGAGGTATAAATCAATTCCATTAGTATTCATGCTCTGAGGTAGCCTTTTCAGAACGAGCTGCCTTTGTGCTCTCTGAGCAGCACTCAGGCTGCAGGGAAGCCTTAGCTCTATTGGTGTCCTGTAGACATGCAACAGTCAATGTCAATTAACTGCTCTCCACTTGGCTCCAGACCCATACACCAGCAGTGTGGAACTGTAATACGGAAAAGGTTTGTTTGTTTTATTTCTTGTGGGCGGATGAAGATTTGTCCGTCATGAGAATATGGACAGAATTACTCTTATCAGTGACCATCTGGCTGTTTTGACTGCTATATTAATTTGCTTCATGCCTACTGTGTCATGTAGACTGCAGTTCTGATCTGAATTCTGGTTAAAGTATTTTTTTATAACTGCTCTGGAGGCAGAAATGACCCCATTGGTTGAACTAAAAGTCAGTGGGCATACCCACACAGTTACATGAGTAACTATATCAGACATCATGTTGCATTTGTGAACACAAGAACCAGACAGGAGATCCACACACTGTAGTAAAAACATTTCGATCTAACAGAGACCTTCATCAGGCATTTTGAAATCACCATCACAAAGCACAACAAGCAACATTAAGACACATTTCTGAACACACCAAATATTGATCAGATCATTTCAGACTCGATAACTAGTCCCACGTAGCCAGTAAGTGTCAGTGTTAGAGAAGGGTCTGAAAGCACATGTTGTCTTTCTGCTAAAGGGGATAAAAATACTCAGGGTTGTTTGTATTTCTTTAAACCAATCACACCCGTCTTTGGTGGCGCTAAACCCAGGATGCAGCAAGATAGCGTTGGAGGAGAGGACTCATTTGGTGGAAAATTTTCATGTGGGGAGCCGAGCACCATCATTAAAATGGCTAATTTTTCACAAACCAAAATGCCACAGATGATTCAACTTTTACTGATAAAAAAGAACATCATAATTTGATCATCGATGCATTCAGGGGCTGGGGGGCATAAGCAC